TTGGGGAGAGGGGGACCATTCTGGGGAAGGGAGAGGGCCAGGTTGGGGTAGGAGGCTAGTTGGGGAGAGGGGGACCATTCTGGGGAAGGGAGAGGGCCAGGTTGGGGTAGGAGGCTAGTTGGGGAGAGGAGGATCATTCTGGGGAAGGGGAGGGGCAGCTTGGGGAAGGGGAATCATCTGGAGAAGAGGGATGTGAGGGCCAGGCCGGGGAAGCTGGACGGGGAAGGTCATTTTGGGGTGCAGGGTGATGCATAAGGGTCCCTCTACCAGGCTGGTGAGTAGTGAGGCGAGAAATCCTTCAAACCCCAGTGATACTCCTGGGCCTCTCTCAGTTTTGTCATCAAGAGCCCCTTTGCGTGTGAGCTGCATCATTTATAAAACAAGGAAAGCTCTTAAAAACCAAAGAGAGAGAAAATTCCTTTACCTCAAGCCACCCACAGCAAAGCTGACTGTATGTATATCGATAAAATAAAGGGATTCTCTGGTCCCGTCTACACCATAACCAGCGCTGTGGTTGGGATGTGGCTACAACAAGACAGTTCTCTGGCACAGTTAAAACATAGTATGGGGTGGGGAAGAGGGGGCAGAAACTTGTTGTACCAGGTTCCTGAGCTGTGCTATCTCCTGGGTGCCAGAGAGGAAAGGGATTTTGGCCCCACAGGCTGTGCTGCACTCCAGCAGATTTGCACCCCTCAACTGGTGCAAATCAGCCCTAAGCCAAGCAGATTTGGCCCCAGGAAGATCTCCCCTGTGTAGAGGCCATAGAAGAGTGGTGGAGCTCAGACTCCACCCTCCTGCTGCAGCCAGCATAGGGGGGAAGCTGGGACTTTCCTATGCCCTGGTAATGAGCATAGGAGGCCATTGGCAGCTGCCACATATTACAGTCGACTAGTTGGCTGTGATGTGCCCCAATGTGACTGAACGGGTGCAGGGTGGGATTCAGGGGACACAAATGCCAGTACCTTTGCACCAGCCTAATCTACACTGATCTCTCCTTTAACTAAACACTTAACGTCGATCCCATTTAGATCCTACCGACCTTGCAGCTGCAGCCAACCCCAGGCTTTCCAAAACCATGAGACTGGCTTAAAAATAGTGATAAAAATACACTTGGGGTTTATTTGGTTTGGGTTTGGGTTTCTGAGCCTTTAGGGTTCACTAAGGTCACATTAAGCTTGTCTCTAGAGGGCTAGAAATGTATGATTTTTGAAAAAGAAAACTGATAATTAACTACGTGTTCACCCCGACCCACCTCAATATACAATCAACAGTATACCAAACTGTCCTGATCTGAGAAAGGCAGTGCAAAATAAAAGCTGACCTGAAAAGAACCTAGTGTTAAATGAATAGGCTGACCCTCCCTGGAGTCACTAAAAGTGGGGTTATTCTATCAGATTCTATTCTAATATTGGGTCTAACACGCCTCAAACTGGGAAATCTAGTTTGTTGGATTTCAGTTTCACAATCTAACTGGCACCTTGTCAAATTCATAAAATTGCCCCCCTTTCACGCTTACAATCTCATATAATCACATGACTCCTGGAGCTGGGGCTTTCAGAAAAACCACAATGATTGCAAGACTCGTGATGAAAGCACAGGAATTGGCATGGTTCAAAACCAGTTAAAAAACTGTTCAGTCCAATCTATCCTGCAAGAGTGATTCATGTTTTAACTGTCCTGTTGGAAATAGGTCATTAGTACAGTATAGGGGGAACCTAAATCGAAGGTGTTAGAATTAGTTTTGTTTTTTTTCAGTACCAGTTTCTCTTTGCTGAGAGCAGCTCCTGACGTTCCTTTGAAGAATTCAGAGCTAGGAGTGATGCCACTGACTTCTGCTTGGGGGTCCTCTGCCTTTGAAATGTGTCGGTAAGCCATGCTCACCAAAGAGAAACCAGCTCTTACACACAAAAGAAGAGACTTCCAGGCCTTGTCTACACTAGAAAGTTTTACCAGCACAAGTTCTGCATTTCAGCAGAACGCGTTCACATCTGGCTGCTTTTGCATGGACCATGTGTCCTCACCGCATTAGCTTGGCCTCAGCCAAAGACATAGGGCACTGTGAGCAGGCATCCCAGGGTCCCCTCGCCACCCTCTGATGCACTGCCTCCTGGGAAATGTTTGCGATGTATCGTGCGGCTGCTGCCATGTGTTACAGGACACCGCTCGCAGGGAACTGTGGGAGTTTGGGGGCAAATACCCACAAATCCCTCTGTTCCATCCCATAATCTACTCTTTTTTGTGCCATTTTTCAATCTTCCCCCTCAAAACATTAGCAATTATTTATTATTTGTATTACTATAGCTGAACTAGGAGCCCCAGTTCAGTTCCTAGGCCCCCAGTGTGCTAGGCACTGTACAAACACAGGACAAAAAAAGACAGTCGCTGCCCCAGAAGAGCTGACAATCTAAGTAAAAGACAAGACAATAGATGGGCAGACAGACAGGGGAGTACGTGGAAACTACTGGTCATCAGCAGCGGTCTCAGCACAGGAGCTGCCTAGCCGCTGTCACAGGTCATCAGAGGTCTCTTGCCCATTTTAAGGACAGGGCAAGTCGCTCTCTTGTATTTGTGGAAGCACAGCACCAACAGGACATACAGCGAGGATGCTGAGGAGGATGACATGAACAAAACTGACCCGCTTGCTGCAAGGAATCACTGAGAAACTGCCCGCAGTGAAGCAGTGGTTTGGGGCCTGTATGAGCATTGGGTAGCGGGACCGGATCCTGGTGCAAACCTGGGATGCTCAGCAGCGGCTCCGGAACTTCTGGATGCAGAAAGCCACATTCCTAGAGTTGTGCGCCAAGCTCACCCCAGCCCCGTAGCTCACAGACACCAAGATGAGTTCATGCAAGAGCTGGAAGAGGGAGCTGAGGGCTGTGTCATGCCACAAGGGGGAGCCCTGAGATGGCCCTTTCATATGCTGGTCGGATATAGAGGCCGGCTACAGGATTTCGGTCACTCGGCAAGCTGGTTTCACCGTGCCAGCAAAAGCTGAGGGGTGTGTGGGCAGGAATCCAAACGGAGTGTGGATGCACGCGTGGCAGTGCCGACGGAAGGAAAAATTTGCCAGTAAAACTTTCTAGTGTGGAGCAGGTCCGTACAGATGGGCTGCTGTCTTTTTCTGCACTGAGGGCAGCTTATGTCCCAGTGATGAGTCCTTGGCAGGCAGAAATCCCCCAACCAAAAGCAATGGTTTCTTGGGCACAGAAAGCTGTCGGCCCCTCAGAGTCCTTGAGCCTCAAGGCTTTTCACTAGGCTAGGAGGTGTGGCCTAGCTAGGGGTTAGAGCCCATGGCCGAGAGACAGGATTCCTTTTTGCTTTCAGTTTCCTTGCCTGTTTGTTTCTTTTAAACAAGAAGTCTGTGCGTAATAATGTCAGCTGCGCCGTCCTCTGCTTCACTCAAGTCTGTGATTATGTTTCACTCCTCCCTTTCCTTTGCCCAGCACATCCAGGCTATCTCCAAAGCCTGCTCCTTCATCCGTCACAACATATATCAGGTCTCTACGTCTCTTTCCATCCCCACCTGCAGTTCTCTCATTCAGACGTTTCCTGACTCAGCCCACTGCAGCAGCCTTCTGTCTGGCTGTCCTGCCATACACATGGCCCATGCAAAAACCAGCAACTAAGATCATCTTGCTTGCTCATCATTTTGACCATAATAATAAATAATATACTACTGCTACCTAGATCGTATACAGTGGCTTTTCATCAGGAGATCTGACCGCACTTTACAAAGGAAGTCCCTGCCATCATCCCCATTTTACAGATGGAGAAACTGAGGCACAGAGAGGGGAAGTGACTTTCCCAATGTCACCCAGCAGGCCAGAGGCAGAGCTGGAAATAAAACCCAGGTCTTCTGAGTTGCACGCCTCGAATTTCTCTGCACCCTCCCCCTTCCCCAGAGTTAAGCTGTCATGTAGTGGCTCAAGACCATGAGCAGGCTGTTAAGAACCAGGGCACAAGCCCCAAACTGCTTGTGAGCTCTATACTGAGCTTTCACCAACTAATTATCAAG